AGGCTGATCAGGTTGATTGATGCTTTAATGGGAGTATTGATTAGTGATCAGACTGATCAGGCAGTTTGTTCTGTCAGTTGTATTGTAACAGTGTAAATAATGTTTAAATCCATACATTAATTATATGAATGTGTTTATTACAGTTTGACCTTTTGTGAAAAACCTCTCAGAGGTTTCAGATGGATGTCAGTTAGCTTAGCTTAGCACAAAGACTGGAAGCAGAGGGAAAGTGTTAGCATAAAGAGCGCCACTATGATTTTGCCTGACTGTCTCCTGATTGGTCCTCCAGGTGGGTCTGGACTACAGGAAGTTCATCCTGCGGCCCGGCGGCTCCGAGGACGCCTCCGAGATGTTGAGGAAGTTCCTCGGGCGGGAGCCCAAACAGGAAGCGTTCTTGCTGAGTAAAGGACTAACGGTGGAGCAGGGCACCGGCACGCCGTGTCCCTGCTGACCAATCACAGCACAGAGTTCACGGAGAACAACGGACTGAGGTTTTCTAGGGAAAAAAAACTGTAAAATGTTACTCAACATGGAAAATAAAATGATTTGAGGTGATGTCCTGTGTGTCTGAATAACTGGTGACGACTCAGAGAGGACTCCAAACCGGATCGGTTAATTTCAAAATAAAACACCTACACGTCAGAGTCCAGAAAAATGATTTACAGAAAGGATCCCTACAGAGATAGACCTTTAGTTTTAGTTTAGCTGCAGTTCCTCTAACATCCACTAGATGCTGCAGTAATAAAACTGTGTTAAGGTAAATGAGAACATGTTCAGTTTTCAGGAGATCATTTCTCTTCTTCTGATGTGAATCTGAGCAGATTGTTAAACTATTCTTCCATTCAGGAGATATTAAAATGTTTTTTTGTTTTTTGTTGATTTTATGATGTTCTGGCTCTAGGATGGTGAAGGCAGCCTCAGTTTCGTGCAGGCTGATGGGAGTTTGAGCAGGTAGGGCGCCGCTCTCTCCCAGCTGGAGTTTATGATGTAATGCCCTTAGAGAGCTGCAGGTCAACAGCTTTAAAAAAAAACAGCCTGGAGGCAAAAGTGCAGAACAAACACAGGACAGAGAGCGGGTTTAATATCCTCAAAAACAACTCTTCATCCTCCGCCCGACGCCCCTTATTTTACATTTTACTCTAGAGAACTTTTATTTGCCTCATCACAGGCTTTATAAGTTCAGATCAGGTTAATATAGGAGTCCTTTAACTTTAAAAAGTCATTTTTGGAGGCCTGAGGACATAAAACGATTTAATATTTCACAAGTTAAAAGTCAAGATTAGAGTGAAGTCTGAACCGATATTTAAGCAGCAGGATTTATTTGATTTCTCCTCAGATAAATGATCATTAACTGGACAGTTCTGAATACAGTTTGTGTGTAACTGCAGAACAAAACAACTCTTTTAGCTGCTACACAGCACCGTAAGGGTTAGGGTCACTTTCCTTAATACACTAATCACCTTAAAAGTGTCACATTATTTGGCCCACAGTTACCTGATGAAACACACCTGTATGATGTCAGAGGATCGTACCTGTCTGCAGGTGCAGCAGATGTCCTCCAGCTCGACAGTAGCTTTGTTATCCTCATTATCATCATCCTCTTCTTTGTATTCAGTGTAATTAGCACAGAGCTGCAGCTGAGAGCGGTGGCCCCCGGGGGCCCGACACCCACAGGCCCCGCTTAGTAAACACTCAGGTGAGTCCTACACTGAGCAGGTACAATGTGTGTGTCTTCCAGTCCGGTGGGGACCGAAACCCCCAGAGAGCCGAATGATTTCTGTGTACAATATTCTGGAAAATCCTCGTCCTTTATTTCTGTGGCAGTATGTATCTATGGTAGCCTAGCTTAGCATAAAGACTGGAAGCAAGGGGAAATTGCTAGCCTAGCTCCATAGCTGTTTTTATTGTGTCACAGCTATAATAGTAAAACTGTTTGGTTCTGTTTAGCAGCTTAAAAAATAATTTATATTTATATTATATATTATACCTACACTGTATAAATACACTGTGTAAATGAATAATATAGATCTGGAAATTGAGGTGTGCTTGGTGTCCGTGTTGTCAGCATATACTGCATTTCAAATCTTTGTTTACATTATAAGCTTAGCATTAGCATGATTGGGATAGGAAGCTAGAATAGAATAAACTTTATTGTCCCAGAGGGGAAACGGGCCCAGTGCTACAGTTTGTTGCTTCACAGAAACAAGTATACCTCAACAACAGACACACATCAAAAAACATTACAAAATCAACATAAAAACATCTTAA